AGCATGAGCAGTTGGTGCAGCTAGGGCTGGGAGAGGCCCCCAGTCCCACCTACAGCCCCAGCCCCTCTCAGGCCCCACCCTCACCATGGGGAAGGGGGAGTGCTCCAAGCACGTTCTCCACCACCACCACAGGGTGGGGGGAGCAAGCATGCAGTTCCAGCCACCCCGGCTCCCAGAGCAATAGGGACGGTGGGCACTGGTAGCAGCAACACTCCACCCCCAGAATGCCTACAGCAGGTTTTCTGAGGGCAGAGTGTGAGCAGGGCCATCCCTGGCAGTTTGGGAAGGCAAAGCCTTTCCCTGCCTACGCTACCAGATACCTAGGAGGGTTCTAGAGCTCACTTCTACCTGACAAGATCCTAGAGCCTGAGTCTCCAACCTAAACACCAACACAACTATTCAACAGCCCAAGTATGCTGGCAGAGTCTGCAGGTTTATTTGCAGCATAGACATGTCCTAACTTTTCATGGGCGGTAGCTTTAGTGTAGATGAAGCAGTTTTACTGCCCTATCCTTGAGGCTTGCCCTGTGCAGTTACAAATGACCCAGTGATATTTTATAAGCAATGACCAGTGGGAGTCATATCTAGCTTACTGTAGCTGCGCTAGCTTACTGGGCTGTTGAAGGGTAAGACTACACTGGTGCTTTCCAGCACTGTAACTTTCTGGCTCAGGTGTGAAAAAAAACCACAAAAACCCATCCCCTGAGCACAGCAAGTTACAGCGGTGGAAAGCACCGGTGTGAACCAAGCTACAGCGCTGGGAGCTGCACTGGAGGTGGTTTCCATCATTCTCTCCCAGCACTCATGCTGTGGCCATGCTTTCAGTTTATAGAGCTGCTGTGGCAGTGCTGCTGCAGCCGCACTTTAAACTTTTAATTGTAGACACAGCTAAATTTGTTGTGTAGATATTCAGGTTGGAGGCCAAAGCTCTAGGATCCTATAGGGTAGGAGGGGTCTAGGGCTCTCCCATAGTTATGAGCAGACATTTTTGCAGAAGAAAATGTGTGGACAGGCCTAGAAACCTGGAGAATGAAACCAAGGCCTTGCTAAGGCTTTCTAAACTAAACCAGCTCCTTCCCTCCCTGCGCGTGTGCACACCGGTCAAACTAGCTCAAACTAGCGGAACTTGATTGTTAATGGTGTGTGCACACCGGTCAAACTAGCGGAACTTGATTGTTAATGGTGGATTAGATGGAGTTTCTACTTGAACCCTCCCCATTTGCCCTTCTAAAACGGAGCTAATGTCAAAGAGCTCTTACACTATGGACCCCTACTGCCACAGGACCACATAGAATGCAGCTAGGATTATAGCTCTCTGCCTCTCACTTCATCCCTCCTCCTCCCTCCATTGTTCCAGATAATCCCGTAATTCTTCCTGCTTCCAGGCACTTAGTCTCAACTCTCCTCTCTTCCTCATCCCTCAAACCCAATGTATTGCTATATTCTGCTGTCTTCACAACAGCTTGGAAATCCATCTCTATCGGCCCTGCCCATCTCCTGCTTGGTGCTCTGTTCTTTTTCCACGGGCTCTCAAACACCCACTTAGCTCCCCTACTGTAACATCCAAGATACCAAAATGAAACTTCTGGCACACCCAATCCCAGATGCATACAAATCCCTCCATTCATTCTGGGTGGCCAATGGCATTTATTACAAACTTCTAATCTGCACAGCCACAGCTCTACCCTTGCCTGCATTCCCTCTGTGGTGACTTTCCACCACTGCCATGGTGTTGCACATTATACCAGCTGAAGAACTTCTGTGTGCCAAAGAGCTGACAACTCAGGAATTGTCAGGATATAGACTGATCTCCAAGCAATGCTCATACAGTGTAAGGTTGTTTGTTCCTTCCTTCCTCTGACAGGCTCAGATTGGGATAGGCACCATGCCTTGCTTCCTATGTAAAGCACCATGCCTTCCTTCATTGTGCTCCTGTAGATGTCAGATCATCACTGCTACTACTACGGATTTGTCCAAATCCAATTTCTTCTCCCACGGCTGGATGAACTCTGAAAACCAAACGAGCAGACTAATCTCTCTTTTTGTAAACGTTGCCAGTGACTGAGATGCACAAGGAACAAATATGGCGAAAGTGTGGTTTATAAAGCACCATGCCTTCCTTCATTGTGCTCCTGTAGATGTCAGATCATCACTGCTACTACTACGGATTTGTCCAAATCCAATTTCTTCTCCCACGGCTGGATGAACTCTGAAAACCAAACGAGCAGACTAATCTCTCTTTTTGTAAACGTTGCCAGTGACTGAGATGCACAAGGAACAAATATGGCGAAAGTGTGGTTTATATGCTGTAGCCACTCAGCTCTTGCCATGCCACTATTCCCACAAAGAGAGGATACCATCCGTTACCTGCCATAGCAGAGTTTGCATTGGGAAATTTGGAAGTGGCTCTAGGAGAGGAAGAGAAGTTGCTGACTTGGCCCTAAAGACAGAAGGGAGGGGTACATTTTGGATTTTAAAATTGTGCCGCTGGGGGACAGAAGGGAGGGGTAAAGTAAAACTGTACATTTTGGATTTTAAAATTGTGCCGCTGGGGTGTCTCAAAGTAACACTGTATAATTCAGTCCTGTTTCTCACGCGGAGACTTCCTTGAGACCACCACACAGGTCATCACTATTGTAAGAAGCAGAGCAATAAAGGACACCCTCCACCCACCCACAGGCTGATTACATGTCTCCTCTCCCACGTAGGGAGATCCCTTTTCCTGCTACATGAAGCATTTTGTTGTGAGACCATGCTAAAACCCCTGCAACCATAACCCACCCCTGCTTACAGGTTAAACAGCTGAGAGCGCTTTTGATACTCTACGATTACAATACAAGCCCCAAAACAATACACTATTCCACACATCCCTACGCAGAGAGCGCACCAAATCATTGCTTGCTCGCGTGAATTTCACGCCAGGACTCCGAACGGAATAACAAGCCTTTGGTGCGGCTTATTCTGTTCCAACCAAGAAAGAAAATGCCTTGAGATTTCTCACGTAACCTGTCACAACGGTTCCCAGAGCTAGTGCTATTCGTTACCTGTGAGCAGGAAGTGGCTCTCAACACCAACCCACCCCAGAAGGGACCTGCGTGGCTGTACAAGTTTCCACCTCCAAAGTCATTGCACATACCGGGACCGGGGAGGGGGATCGGGCAAATCCCTTGGTCCACCGGCACAAACAAGGCAGCCGGAGGAACACAAATACAAGCGGCGCAGCGAAGAGACATCAGTGTTTTCCCCCAAGACGCAACCTGCTCGTCTGCAGCATCGTGGTACCTTCTTTCTGGTTCTGACTCCGAGAACCCCCCTACGACTAGTTTCTGCAACAGGGGCCAGCCCGACCGGCTCTCACCAGCCAGCAGCCAAGAAACGTTTCCACCCAGCCAGACCCAGAAATGCGGGGCTAGAATTTGGAAAGAGAGAAAAGTCATGGCACTTGGAACCCAGCGCAAACTTACAGCCTTAGCGCATGTTCTCCCTGGAGTTGAGGGGCAGGGGGCTCGCAGTCGAACGCCACCCCGCGTGAAAAATAGTGTCCACAGCCAGCCGGAGAGAAATTCACATCTTGCTGGTCAGTTGCAGAGACAGAAACTGACTAGACGGCCCGCTCTCCGCCGGGGGCCCTTTGTGCAATCTACACTTAGCATAATAAAAGAGCCAAGCCTAGCACCTCCTCTACATTACCATATTAAACCAGGCACACGTCGCAGCGAAAAGCAAAACTGCTGGGCTGTTGCCACCCCTACGCTGTGGTGATTAGCTTAAAAGACAGCAGCAGAAACTGAGCGCCTAGAAATCAAGTCTGCAAAATGAATGTTTACCGTAATTAATGGAGCACCCGTCGCATACTTTTCCCATTTATTGAGCGTGGCACCACACTCATCGTAATGCCATAAATATTACAGCCACGTTGTTAGACTGCCTAGTTTTAGAGTGCGTGAGTTTAGCCTATGCTAATTTATCTCTTACCGTTGCGGCAGGAATAATAACGTACCTTTAAGCTATGCAATATTTAGGGCAGTGGCAGTAAATCCATAGGGCAACTACGATACAGTATATAAAAGTAAGAGTGAAGCTGAAGTCACTAGAAACCCCCAGATCGCCTCTAGTGCAATAAATCACACACTTCTCAAATGTGCATACAGAGTGGGGTTCCTGATAAAAGATCTTACTGCACCAGCAAGTCTCCTCACAGTCCAGTTCTATATTTCAAGCCCCTTTTCCCTCTATCTTTTCAATGTTCTCTCCACCTCTATTAATATTTCTTCATTCTTCAGTTTACTTTAGAACATGCCCCTGTCCTATTTTGTAATTCCACACTGAGCACTTTCAAAACAAATAACAGCAGACCTATTCTGGCACAAAGCCAAGCTCAAAACACTCAAACTACCAAAAGAATCAAACTTGCATCAGACAAAAGCTTGAGCAAATAGGTAAATCATGCAATATTCTGAGAAGTCTGACAGCCTTTCTCTTTGAAGGGCGTGTCAAAGCCCTTTTGATATTTCAAAAATACATTACTAAATGACTTTAAAGCTAGTATATCTTAGTCTTGAATTTGTAGCACTCCTGACATAGATCTGTTACCTGTCTGAACACTGCTTATTTTAATGTACCACAACCCTGAACAGCAAAACCCTTAATTCCTGTCCTGTTCCCCCTCCTGCCACCCTCCATATACCTCATTCCTGATCTGCAAAGTCCCCTGTTATTCCAGCCTTGGGTCCCCCTTCCTTCCTACAACTCTCCTGATGCACCTTATTTCTGATCAGTAGCAATCCTTGTTATTCCAGTTTTTGCTCAAGACTGGAAAGTCAAGCAGGTTGTATTGACTAATCACTTTTTGTTAATTATGATAGCCCAGTTGAGACCACCAGACTCATTGCATTTGCAATCCAAACAAGAGTCAAACCAAGAGCTCCAGACCAGTTACTAATCCACTGTTCCCATTCCCCTCCCCCCGTTCATTAATGTCCAAACTATTTGTGCGGAATTTCACACATCATGGATTATTTAGAATTCTAGATAAATACAATGAGCAAGAACAAATAAATGCATCAAAGGGAGGGAGGGGTGAACAAAGAACATGGTATCTAATCACATGAATGCCAGTCATTTGTTGAGAATAACATAACTTGCCTCTTTGCTCATCCTTTGGTCCCACTTACAAAATCCACCAATGAGAGAGAGCTTTATTTGTGCCATTTTCTATAAAAAGTTTGTCAGCTCCAAATGTGGTCTAATGCAAATGACTTTCAGATGTTCTCAGGAGCACCTTGTATTTAAAATAGAGAGGCAAGGCAGCTTCTCTTCAGGGGTGTGATTCTCTTTCTCATTTTAAACCCAGTTATAAAATCCCCTTTTAAATAAAACATCAGAAAAAAAATCCCACATCTGTTTCAGTAGAATTCATGCAGGTGAAAAGGGCTGAGCCAACCACCCTGGAGACTGCAGTCCCCAGAACAAAGGGAGCTTGGGCAGCAGCTGGTCACATTTCTCCATTCTAACCACTACCAGTAATATCAGCCCTGTCCTGCTGGAAGATTCCTGCTATCATATTCAGCGAACTGGATAGCTGGGGAACTAGTCCAGTGCTTAATTCCAAGGCAATACATTAGATTAGAGGAGACTGCGGTGGGGAGCAAAATGGGGAAATGATAAAGTGTTCAAACAGGGACAGTTATATGTTTTCTTGGGGATCAGCAGAAAGCTCTCTTTCTGTAGCAAGCTCTGTCCTTGAGGTCCTTTATGAGTCTTCCAACAAGGTGACTTCATTGTTCCAAGTGAGCTGATAGCTTTTGTGATTTGCACACTTATTCCCTGGGAACAGGACTTAAACTCTCTCAACTCTTTCATTTCAAAAGTTTTTTATTCTTGGATCAGGACTTCTAATACTCCTGTCTTCTGAAGAAGTGGGTTGTGTCCACGAAAGCTCATGATATCATCTACATGTTTTGTTAGCGTTTAAGGTGTTACTAGACTATTAGTCTGTAACACAAAAAAAACTTTAAAACAACAAACTCGGCTACCCCTCTTGAGTTTTTCATTTCACTTAGGCCAAAACTAGTTAAACTTGGAGTTTCCATTCTATGGAAACTGACGCTTTGAGGTTTTTTAATTCTAAATTGAAGCAAAAATTTGAAATTTGCCATGGAACAAATGTCAGAAAAGGTCAGAACCATCAACATTCATTCTGATTGTCAAATATCAGAATGAAGTACAAAATTACATATATATAAAATGTTAATTTTAACACAGAGAAGCTAAAACAAAATGAAGCATTTTCACCTTATTGAGATAATACATTTCCTAGATAAAAATCCATACATTCTGGGAAAGTATTTTGATTGAAAATGCAGGGTCTTTAGCTTCCTAAGTACCTAAAGCGCTTTTAAAAATGGGACTTAGGTACTTTGGAAAATATTGTTCCTGTAGTGAACTTGAATCCATAACCTAGAGGCCAGACCTAAATAAAAAATAGGTTAATACTGCTACAGTGTGGGGTGAAACAAATCCACACTCTATGTAACATAGATAATCCAACACTCCATGTAAATAGCACAAAATGAAAGGAAGAATTCTTCCATCAACCTAGCTATCAACTCCTTAAAGAGTGGATTAACTACAGCAGTGTTTCTCAACCAGTGGTCCGAGTGAGATACTCGGAGAAGTCTTGGGGGGTACGTCTGCACAACTGAAATTTGGAGAGAACTGAATTTTTGTGTTAAATTTTACATCGCTTTATTGTTGTTGTACTTTTTACACCGAAAAATTTCATTGCCCACCCAGCTACAATTAAGTTGTTTAAACAAATGTGTTGCAATGGCAGAAAAAGAATGGTGTGTCTGAAAACTGTAGGTCTGGGGGTACTTATAGATTTTTTTTTTAAAAGGAGGTACTTTATTAAAAAAAGGTTGAAAAACACAACTACAGCACTGGGTGTACTGCTGCTGCTATAGTGAGTATCTATACTGAAGTGCTACAGCAGAGCAGCTGCAATGTACTGCAGAAACATTTCTTGTGAAGACACAGCCAGAGTCAAGTTTCCTACAATTAACACCATGAACAATCCAATCTTCCCTACTTAATCCAGTATATAACCAGACTCAGCACTTAAAAGGGCAAGCGTGGTTTGTCTCAAGATGATTCAATCTTTAAATGTGCCACAACCATGTTTCAAAACCAAGTCCGAGTTATGCTGGTGGCTAGTCTCATATTGTTTTTTCTCTAGTGTAGATAGTCTGTCTCCAGCTACACTTGACAAACTGTTCGTAATTTAAATGTAAATGTATTGACCAGAAAGTGGCTGATAGATTACAAATGTCTCTACCCGCCATTTCATTTTGCATCTGTCTCTAGGTCCACTTTCAGCAGCATAGCAAACTATCTTCTGGAAAACTATCCCATTATTTCTGCCCTGACACAACTGTGATATGCAGTAGCTTGTGAAAGTGACCAAATAAGTGATTAGGCTATGGGTAGTTATGAGAAGATCAATGATGAAACTCTGTAAACTAGTCGGCCTGTCCTTCCCAGCTACATAGCAGTGTTATAAGAGTAGTAGTATTTAGATTTGATCACAGCAAGATTAATTAGTAAATGCACCTTTACAATACTTGTATCAAATTTATGAGACTGGGTTTGACTGTGATTTATTATTACCCTCCAGTACAAAGGAGACCATATACCATTCTGAGTTATTTGCTCACTGTTCCTCTGGGATTGTCCTCAGTTGCACTAAATCCGGGAAGAAATAAAACAACTTCGAGACTGTGGGCTTGAGTCAAGGAGAGGATGAAGATGTTGAAAACAGTGATTGAGAAAAAGGAAAAACGGAGAGCTCGTGAGAGAGAAGATACGGATTTTCAGGATGGCTGATAAGAAGACTTCAGAGTGAAATCATGGACTGTATGGAAAGAGGCTGTTGATGAAAGCTGGAGAGGGAGTTGGCTTGATTCATCATTCTAGAGAAGGTAGCTAAATGGGAGAGATTGCCCAGAGGTATAACATGGTGTGAAGACCAGGAGGCCATTGACAGGTAGCCCTGGTGCATAAGGAGGACCCGTTAAAAGAAGTCTAAATGGTAGTAAGAAAGGCAAAGAGGAGAATGTAATTAAAACCCAGAGATAAGATTGAGGGGAGAGAGAATGATTAATAGCATGAAATGCAGCGGAGTGATCTAGACATGTGCCTAGCCCTCCTAGGGTCTACAGTGTGCACCTGCCCACTAATGAATCTTTTAATTACCAACACTGTCTGGGTCTAAGAGGTTACTCCCCCTACACACCATATGTTCTGCTGGGGTAGCTTCAGAACTGCTACAACAAAGAACTGGCTAAGGAGATTTTAGCACAAGAGAGAGGCAGCATTAACCCAGTCAGAGGGAAAAAAAAACATATTTCATTTGTGTTTGTAGAATCTTTGATCAAACATATGGCACATGCAGAACTGGCCTGATTTCAGATCACCAGAAAAAAAAGCTTATTCAACATGATGTTTCTGAAATGTGTCAACGAGACTGTGCTAACAGGATCTGTGATGTATGTTTAAAGATACATTTTTATGTCCCTGGAAGAGATAGCTGAGGAGCTATGCATCTGATATTAAACGCTTTTAGACCACATATAGAATAATATGACAGGCAGAGCATATAGTCCCTC